TCCCACCACATCTTGAGAAAATGTGATGGTTTTCAGCATACATCCCAGCTTCCAACCTACAACTGCCTCACACTGCTCTTCTCAGAGCAATATATTAAGCACAGTGACAAATGTCACCCATTACCATTCTGTCACTGCAACAAGTTCCCAGGTGAACAGTCTATAGAATGAAAGGCACCACCAAGGATAACACTCCTCAACTGCACAACAAATCAAGCCAGACAGAAAAAAGTAATTTTGAGAACTGCAAAGGAAGGAATCCTATACATCAGTCTTTTCACTGATAAGTAGGAACTACTAGTATGCCAACTCTCAATAAAAGAAGTTGAGATATGAGATGATTTTCATCCTAGTACAAATATAATTTCCAAGACACTTGTTCAATGAAAGCCTATAAAGACAGTAGACAAATTCTGCCCTCCATGGCTCCAGTAACCTGTGCTTATCACCTATGTATGTTTCTAATCCAACACTACTGCAACATACTGTAATATTCCAAAGTTATTAACAGACTGCTGCTTTAGGTAGCTGCAAGAATAAAGTCAAACTAAAGGTGAAGCCTCTTCTTGCAACAAGGTGATTTCACAAAACGAAACTACCAATGTTAAGAAAGTCTGTCGCACATTACCAAAGAGTGAGAATTTAACTACAATACAAAAGGTTTTCTGTCCGGTAATAAGCTGAGCTATACATTCACATTTCATAACTTGCTGATATATTACGTAAAACTTAAGAATGTGCACCGCGCAACACTATTGCTAATATGAACTTGTATTGCAATGACAGCTGCAGATTAATCTGCCCAGAAACTTTTACAACATACACATCATCACACACACAGCTTCTGTAAGGAAAATGCACAAGCTCTCTAACAGGAAGGGAAAAGGACTTGATCTTAATGTCAGCAGCAGTCTGGAAAGCCTTGCCTTGTCAGTCATTCCTAAGGCAAGGAAGATGATATAGCACTCTTCCAGCCTGATGAATCAACTAATAAATCATTTTGCAAAGCTACCCATAAACCATATTTAAGTCCTTCAAGACTATCTTACAAACAAAAATCAAGTAACAGCCCTCACTCCTGATTAGGGGCTGTAGGAAAAAGCAACCCACCAAGAGCATCAGAGCATCATAATTTGAACAATTTGTGAATTATTACTTCATAATCTCACTCCATGAAGAGGGAAATGCCTAAAATAACAGGAAAAGCTTCCTTTAACACCTGTAACTCTCTTAATCAAAATCAAGTCAAAAATCCCTCAGGAACAGATCATTCTAAAACTGACTTAAGGCTGAAGCAGAGGCTTTATTCAGGAGAGATCTCCAAGGCAGTGGATCCAAGCAGACAGTCCAGGCCACTGAAGGGGGTAGTGCCCCTCCAACACTTTCCTTACTGTCAGTGTACTCCAAGCACAGTGCACTAATCAACCCCAAGATGACACCGTTCAACTCACCAAATCAAGAGGAAATCTGCCCAGAAAATCTGCAAGTACTTTTTGCTGCTGGTTTAGCAAGCTGAACTAGCTCAACCAGAGGCTGAGCACAGCCAAAGACAAGGAGATAGGAGCACACTGCCAAGAGGGTCCTATACTGCCAGTCCATCATTTACAGCTGTCACTAGATCAGTTGAGTTATGAAAATTTACCCCTTCTGGTTAATAAGAGATCACTGCACACATCTAACTTTAAAGCCAAAGTAAAGGAGGACTGAAAGGGAAAGTCCTTTCAGTGTGCAGTTAAGAACAATTACATACTTATCTAAGCAAACCAACCACATCTCATTCCGTCACAGTTTAACTTCTTACTAAACTACAGGCTCATGTCTTTTATTTTTTAGTGGCTCCAAATCAAAAAACAGGAGTTTTCTGGAAGTCTGCATTGCTTTATAAACACAAGAGAGCCACAATGTTTCACAATTTTTAAAAACTCAGGTTTTTTACAATGTCTTTAGGTTTTTTATGAAATAGTGAAAACTCAGCTTCCTTCTTAAAGAGGTGAAGAATGAAGTCAGGAGAAAGTACCTTTTTGCTTTGAAAAGTCTCTAGAGACAGCTTCAAATGCTGTCCAAAACTCCTGTCTCTCTACCAAACCATTAGGTCTGGAGTACAAATAGACAATCTCCACACCACTGTCCTGGCTGCCAGATCTAACTTCTGCATCAAGTGCCTTGGAAGGATCAAGGTTACCTGGAAATATTTTTCTTTATGTAAGTTAAATCTCCTAAGACAACACACACATCAGCAGTTCATGTAAAAAGGTGACTTACAAACCAGATATAGCAGACACAAAGCATTTAAGGGAAACTAAAAGAAGAAAAATTAGCATTATTGATGTCACGAAATAGCCTTCCAAGTGGTATCTGTGACTCAATATTAGGTTATTTATTTTTCAGTGTCATTCGTGGCTTAAGTGTTGCTCTTCCTTAATGTGTACTGATCTGCAATGGATTACTGATGCAAGAATTATCTCAGTACCAAACAGACACAGCCACTTAAAATACAGTCCTCGTGGTTCTTTTGCTCATTTTAGGAAAAATGTAACATTTTCCTATCAAGAAAAGACGTCTTAAAATAATCTTAAAAAAAAAAAGGAAAAAACAAGAAAAAAAAAAGACAAAATCACAGTTGATATATTCACACAGCACAGCATCATTAAATTCAACTCAATATTCCAATATGACTTAGTCAGAATGAAAATCATGATCTTAAAAGTAATCAGGGAAAATTTTTAAGGAATACATAAATAATTATGAACTAACAGGTAAAACTGAAGTTATCAGCACCCGTATTACGCCAAGGAGCACAAATAGCTGGGTTTTAAACAGATCAAATCCCTTTCCCCATCCTCATCCCAGGAACAGGAAGGAACACAAAATGTGATAGTCTGCCCAGTTTAAGGCAGAATTACATCGTGTCCATTTAAGTAACAATAGCTCTCTCCCTTTTATGACAGCCACAAGATAGAACTTTTGATTCTGAAAAGTTCACATGATCAGTTGACAGGCTGTCAGCCTGTTCCTGATTCACTTTCATACACAGACAAAACAGTTACTTCCAACTGAAGTTCCAAAATAAATTCCAAAGCAGCAAGTATTGCAGATTTAAATCAGACCATCTTCTCATTCTCATTTAAAGCATTTTCCTTAAAGTGAGTCAATCTATTTCAGCTCTTTCTTTAGGTTCACTTTACCAAAGTATTATACATATAGATTGTTTTACATAGTTAATACTGTAAAAGGTCATTGAGATTAATTCTGTCCTAACAATGTCTATGTTTCACTCTATTCAGAGAAAAAAGTATTTCACACTGTCACAGGTACAGATGCCTCCAGAGCTCATGAGTTCACAAACTCAAATTTCTCAGTTACTGCATACCATACCAGTAGCTTTTAGCATCTAAAAAATCTAAATACCAAATATCTAAATACCCAGTTCAAGAAGACTTTTGTAATTTGATATAACTATAATTATTCTATTCCTTATTGCCTTTAGATTTTTATTTGTCAGAAGTGTGGCAAGAGATGACTAAGAGAACTTGCAAGAATCACATGTACCATTACTAAACTACATAAAGGCCTGCTCTGTGAGCTCAGAGAACTCTGCAGCTACTTTGCATGGAAAAAACAAACATAGCAGGACCCAAACATGGCAACAATTTAGGATGTAGATTTTCAGAGATACTGCTCCTCAGGATACCTTGTAAAGACAGCAACTGGTTGTAAGTAGGGAATACTGTTTGATACTAAATACTCCTTGTATCCTTAAAGAAGCCATTGTCCAAGCATTATTTGAAACATACCTAGATTATTAAAATTCATTAAAAGGTGAAACTAAATACACACACACACTTTCACATATAATTATACAAGACATATCAGATCTGTTAGGTCACAGTCTAACAAACAACCATGTAGACTTTAAACTCCTGCTGCTGCCGACATTTTATAGAAAGGAGGAGTGCTGGGGGCACTCCCCTAGGACACAGCAGATTCAGGTATAATCCCTTGCTCATCCACGAGCTTCCTGCACAGCCTCGTGTGAGTCTCTAGCTCTCCGTGCCCTCATCCCATGCTGAATGGTGAGCTAAAAGCAGGAAGATTTCAAGGCGATCACATGATGGCAACTGAGACCCAAGCATGTAAAATAACAAACACCCACTATCTGAGACAAAGCAGAAAACTGACACTCATTATATATGTGTTTATATCTATTAGGAGTGACGTGGGTTCACCTAGCACAGCAAATTCCGAATTGTTCTCTCAATCCTGTTTGAGAGAAGGGTTTGTTCATAAATATGGTGACCTGAGAGATCAAATGCATGCACTGTACTGCATCCAATAATGACAAGCAAGAAGTGTCTCTCTCAAGTACATCAATCTTTTTATCCTGCAAAAGCAACTTTCTCTCTGTCAATTATCTGATATTTAAGACTCATCTCACTACACCACTCCCATTTAGGAACAATTCTAAAACCAACCCACACTTCTAAGTCATAACAAAGGCCTAAAACTGCACCAAATGCTTCAGACGTGCAGCCAAAGCTAGGAAGAGCCTGGAAGCAGGGATTTGACACCACCATAATCACGACAGGCATTAGCGTGTCCAGCAAATTCTGACCTGAAGCAGCAGGTGACGGAGGCCGAGGGAGGGAAAGCCAACCCTGATTCCCGCACGAGGAGCGCCCAAGCGATCGCATCCCTGCACAGGGCCCACACACACGGCTCCCGTCGGTGACACCGTATGTGGAGCAGCCCCGAGCACCGGCCCGCCGCCGATGCCCTCACACCGCCCTCGCCGCAGGCCCGCTCTCCCCCGCCCAGCCGCCAGCTGGCTGAGCGGAGCTCGGCCGGAGCCGAGGAGCCGCCGGCCCCGCGGGGAGCGGGGACAGCGAGCGAGGCGCAGCCCGGCCCCGCGCCCCCGCCCCCGGCGCGGCCCGCACCCCGGCGGGCGGGCGGCGCGGAGCCCCGCCGCTCCCCGCCCCAGCCCGGCGGGGGAGCCCCGGTACCTTGCGGACCCCCTTGTAGATGTAGAAGTAGAGCTCCCGGCCCACATTGAAGCAGAGCCGGTCCCCGTTGCCGCTCTGGTCGTTGACGTTGACGAAGGAGACGCGGACGGGGTTAGAGCCCTGCGAGTTGAAGGGCACGCGGTTAGGCCGGCTGTACTCCGAGTGGCTCAGCAGCTTGTACAGCCCCTCCCGGGTGGTGAACTGGGTCTTAATCTCGTTCATCTCCTTCCCACCTCCCTCCGCCGCCATCTTGGAAAGGAGCGCTCATCCTGCCCCAGTGCCCGGATGTGCCGACACTGCGCAGCCGCCGGCGCGCGCGCGGCCCCTGCGCGCGGGGGCGACGCGAGGAGGCGGGGCCGGCGGGGCCTGTTTACCGCGCGACTGCGCGCGCGCCGGGCCCGCGCGCCGGGGGCGGGGAAAGGGGCGGGGCCTGGGAGTGGGCGGGGCCTCGGGCGGGAGCGGCGGCGTGCCCGAGGGGCCCGGCGGGGGACACCGCGCACAGCCCCCTGCACAGCCCCC